CATGTTACATAATATTTTTTTCTTATCGAAATGTCAGATACATATTCAAAGTTATCTTTTCTTTTTTAATAGTTTGGCAGATGCATAAGTGTGCACAGACTATATAAAAAAAACAGAAAAACAACAAAAGAAGGACAAAAGGATGTTTTAACTCTTTGTTAGAATCTGGAGTCTAGTTCTGGGGTTGTATATTTGTTTGATTTAAATCTGTAATTGTATTCGTAGTTTGATTATTTTTTGTACTGTTTATTGTATTTGTTATTTGTCCAGATTTTAGCTGAGAATCAAAACATGTAATGAGCATAATATGCGATTTACAGGCATCGACACGTTTACGTAAAATTTCAGTTTCTTTCTCCAGCGCTTCTAAAAAGCTTGGATCATCAGGATCCATTTGTTCAGCAACATAAACTATGAGTGAAAACCAAAAAAAGAATACAAAAAAGAACATTTAAATGACTAAATTATGCTATGTAGATTGGATAATGCGACAGACAACGGGCAATGAGGAAATAGGCATAAAATGGACTCACACAAAAATCTTGGAGGATCTAGATTTTGCCAAGAACATATATGTCTGATTTCCCACAAACTGGAAGATATGCAAGTGGAAAGCAATAAGTTGGCAGAAGAAGCATCCATAGAAGATAGGACTTCAGGTAAATATAGATAAAACAGAGGTGATGAAGATTCCCAGCCAACAGCAGCAACAACAACAACGAAAACAACAGACAACAATCAGACAGCATAAATGGGAGGAGCCTGAAAAAAACAACCTCCTTTACCTACCCAGCTATCTGAGAAGCATCGTTTCAACTACAGGCGAGCGGAACTGACGAGGGTATCAAAGTCAGAATCGGAAAAGCAAGACAAACTTTCATTACTCTCAAGTCTGTGTGGAGGTCAACAACACTCAGCATGAAAAATAACATCCGGATTTTCAACTCCAATGTGAAATCAGTCAGTGCTACTCACTATACGGATCAGAGAATTGGCCAGCGCGTCATAAACAGCATCTCAAACGAACTACAGATCCTCATTTACAGTTGTCTTCGCTCAATGCTACTCAAGATCAGATGGCCGGCCAGAAAAGATCAGAAACAGGGTGAGATCTCTGGCAATGAGCGAACCAACCCAGCTGTAACCGATTGTGAGGCGAATAGGCAGGAAGAAATGGAGATGGATTGGCTGGCCATACTCTGAGGAAACAAGCCATCGAGTGACATCACTAGACAAGCCATTGCTCGAGTGGAACCCGGCCGAAAGGGAAGCGGGCGGCGAGTTGGTCGTCAGTGCAAGGGTGGGGTGACTTGGAGGAGGTCATGTGAGGAGGAGATGAAAGCATGTGGGGAGACTTGGAGCGGGGTGAAAAAGTTGGCACAAAACCGAAAGCAATGGAGACGTTTGGCTGAAGCCCTATGTTCCTCTATGAATTAAATGATATAATAATAATAAATTATGCTTTTTATGGATTGCAAAAATTGAAATAGGTAAGTGAATAAATGATTGTCAATTAGAAGTTCAAGCTTTGAGAAGTTTTTATGAATAAATATAATGGATCTTTAAGAACTTCATGCAATTCTTGCCAATAATGAACTTGAACAAAGCAAGAACAATAATTGTAGCAGGATAATATGAGCTCATCTTTTATTATTTCGAGGATTCTTCTCAACTGGTTACAACTGTTGTTCTTGCTTTGTTCAAGTTTATTAATGCGAAGAATTGCATGAAGTTTTTAAAGAAACGTCTTTCTCCTCGATCCTTCAAGTCACTGAATCGCCTGGTGACGATACTATGCAGGATATCTAAAGATCTATTTTGGGATGATCTCGTAGACCAATCAGCCGCTTGGTTTCATGAATTCCAAAATCTGCTATTTCGCGACATATACCGCGAGTATCAGCCAATGTTATAAACGAGTAACTGTTCCCCTACTTCACCTAGTATCTGAGCTTGCCTTGTAACCAGAAGATCCTGGATCCGAACACTACTGGGTGCTTACTGGTGAAGAGTCCCAAACTAGAACGAAACAGCTGTTCAATACTCCCTGCTTTCGAATAATTCTCTAACTGACATCATTCCTTGATTAAACTTGAAACAAATCAAATGTCTGCAAACTAACACAAGCAAATTATGTAATTTAATTTGTGGATGGTGACAAGCACTGGAATCCAGGACGCACATTTCGTCCTATTTGGGACTCGTCAGTAGGATGTGCCTGCATTTCCCAATGAGCGATGATGTTCGACAGGAAAATCTCATATTCAGTTAAATTATGTAATTGTTAACAATTCACACTTGTAACTCACGATCAAAGCTCCAAGTAGACGGATCAATAAGAAGACGATCCTTAGCTGTCATTAATTCCATTTTCAGCATATCTTGTTGTGCTAGTAGATCATAAGTTTTTTCATAACGTATTTGACGTTCCATTTCCTTTATAAAATTGGTAAACAAGATAGAAAAAAAAATAAAACAATAAAGATTTAACAATACTAGCGGAGTACAGAATACAAAAATAATATGGGGAAAATAAAAATGCTAATTACAAATGAAATGAAGCTAAATCCTTTTTAATTATTTTCAAATACCAATAAAGTGTGAAGTTCCTTTGTTGTTGTTCTTCTTCTTCTTCTTCGCCTTATCACTGTAAATTCGTTCCTACAATCCCCCAGCCAACTTTCACCCTGAAATTTTCTCTAACCGAAATCCTTTACACTATTTATTTAGAGAGAGAGAGGGAAACTGTGATAGAAACAGAGTGTGTGTGTGTGTGTCAGAGAGAGAGAGAGAGAAGGGAAGTGAAAGGACAGAAAAATTTGACAACTATAGAGCGAGAGAGACAGTGAGCAGATTTCTCAGTAAATTCAAGAGAGAAGAAAGTAATCAAATGTTATAGATAATGATTTTATAGTTAGAAAATTCATTTTGTTGTTCTTCATATGGCACTGTTTACATACATTGGAAGCAAGTGAGAAGTTGTGCAGAATAGAATGTATGCACAGAGTGTAATCATGTGGGTATAACTTTGTGAATAAGTATTTACATATGTTTGTATGATGCATGAATGGATCAGTGTGAACTATTTAATTAAAATAAGGCTGAATCGTTTTATTTTAAAAATTCAACTGAATAATCAAATCTAATCACTGGTGCATATGTAATACAAGGATTAATGCTCAACCTGATGATCTGTGTGGAAAGAAATTCGAGGATAAAATTTAATATGATGTAAAATTAGAAATAAAACTCAGTAGGAAGTGATTGATATATTGGTAACTATTCAGCTAGAAAAAAACTATTTACCGTCTAACTGAGACTTAATGATCTGTACTTAACTAATTTTGCTTTATGTATGTATTTATTAATTACCAAGGAAAATAATTCCTTTATGAAAAGAAACAAACCAAAGATAGTAATTTTACCACTAACTATCAAATATACAATATACTGAGAATATGAAATAGAAATTCCGTGGTGGTGTTATTGTGTTCTCTGAGCTGAATGATTTGATTGTGAAGCTTCTATTGACCACTTAGACAACATTTTTAGCATCAACTTCCGTATGAAGTCCCGATGAAAATTCATCTGAGTTACTATTATTCTTGATTAAATTCAAAATAAAAAATAACAATATCACAGTGTGGCATAAATACAGATCAGGGTTGTTTCCAGGTGTTGTTTAGCTGGGATTTGATTTGTTACAGGCAAGGTCACGAGCTTATATGAGTTAGAGAACAAGTGGAAAACCCGAGAGCACTGGACAGCTGTTTCATTCTAGTTTGGGACACTTCAGCAGTACTCAATCATTGAAGTTCAAATCGAAGACTTTCCAGTTACAAGATGGTCCCCTGAACCAATCAGTCAATGGGATGCGATCCGACGGTCCATAAATTCTAACTTTTGCCGATCCGCGATATATATATATATATGCACATAGAGCAAGACAAAGGAGGACTAGTCAATCGGGTGATGGTTACCTTTAAGAACTGTTAGTGTACAGGAAGACACTGGGAATCTGTGTTTGATCAACATGTTGAATTTGCTCTCACGAGTTTACTACTTGTAAACCGTCTAAATTGATTACTCAAGTTTAGTAAAACGAAGAAACGTTTACAGGATTTTTATTCGGAATTAAGAAGGAGACATTTCAGGAAAGTGAACATTGAAATATTTAACCAAAACTATACTGACTGTTGAAATAAATGACTCTTAAAATCTAAAGGTTAAATAAATACCTCCATTTTTCTTAGCCGTGGTACAGTCCACTGTCCATCTACTACTCTTTAGATGTTCGTTATCTTGTTTCCATTTATTGCAAATGCGTTGTAATAATAGTTTGGATGACTATTAATTATCGACCGTCTATTTGGTAGGATAATTCGATTCAAGAAAGTTTCATTCCTGCTGGTTCCAGTGTATTTAATTACTACAGTTTTATGTGCTGGAAATAGTCAGCTTACTTGTTATACTGTCTCTTGTTTGATATTGATTTATTTAGTTAACCTTATGTCATTAGTTTATGGATGGAGTGGACATACAATGAGGAAACATTCAAATGACATCCAACGCTTAAATCTTGAGTAAAACCTGAATGGTAAGCGAGAAGTTGTAAATCAGAAGGTGACAGGGAAAACATCATGGGAATACAAAGTGAGAGCATTGGGTACTGTCGTGGCACCATTTGAAAAGACGATCAGTGCTATGGAGATGCACCGCTGAACCTCTGTTACACACGGAGCTCAAGGAATGACTAACAATGCAATATAAAACGTCACTAGTTGATTTTCTATAACATCCATCAATTGGACAAATAATTTTATCCCATATATCTGGCTTCGAAAATTAAATACCTAGGCGCCATTCTATCTGCTGATCTTTCCTGGTCCTCTCATATCTTGATGATTTCTAAGAAAATATTCCATCTTACCTTCTACATCAAGAAGTTAAGACATTCTGGAATAACCCAATCCTTACTTTTAAGATTCGTTAACTCTTGCATTCTGCCTATTATTCTCTATTGTTCCCCCTTAGTTCTTCCTGGGCTACTGAAGAAAGACTATACCATACTACGCAGGATGTTAAAGATTGTCATCAGGGTAATCAACGTCCCACTTAACCAGCTTATTAATATTCTGGTCGACAGGCACTTGGAATAATGTGAAAAATGGGCTAAATCCATTCTGACTATCTAACTCACACCACCCTCTTCATTCACAACTCTCCCCCACCTTGTATCTCATCAGGCAGGCAGACCAGAAGCCTATATAGAAAACTATATTCTCTCACTAGTAAGAACAAAAACTCAACCATACCCTACTCAGCTCGTATTCTGTGCGATAAAGAAAGCATTATTGATATAAGCATTAGGCGTGATACCTATAATTTATTAAATAGTCAGTAGAACACCTGGATCTCGTCTTTCCAACTCATATCATTTATAGGTAAAACGTTTTCTTTCTTTCTTTTCCTTTCCTCTCTCTCTTTTTTTCTGTTATGTGCAGCTTTGTTTCTTTCTTCCTCACAAACTCTATTACAACATTCTTCTTCGTTCTCTCACACTCTGTATATCTCGACCTGTTTGTTACTGCTTACGCCAGTGAATATGCCAGCATCTACTTTTCTAACACCTTCAAACACTCTGTTCAATTTTTGGCTTTGCTACTGACATACCAACATATTGTTGCCAAAATCTAACTGAGATTATCCTTAGTCTATGTAGGATTTTATTTATTGTTAATGTATTAACTGGATGCAATCGTGTAGTAAAATACTGAGAATCCCATTCTGTATCACAAGTACTGTTTTGGAATAAAGCAAATTATTATTATTATTCTTAGCAAAGTATTTTACAAAATCATCTGTTATGAAACAACAATCAGTTGGAGTGCTCCGACTAAATGTTTTCCTTTGAAATGCTTATTGTGAGAGAATTCAGGCTCATAGAAAACATCAAATCAACAACCCTTAAAGAATGCACATATTTTGAAAAAACCTACTTGAACTTCTTCTAAATACATCGGGAGAATGCAGGATACATTTGAAGAATTTTCTGGAAGTGAGGATTTCATATTTGTAGACAGTTTGGATGAAGCATTATCATTTTGTTTAGTTGCAACATATCTTACACTAATTGGACTACTTGTTGTTTCTTCAGATGTATCTTCTGAACAAGGGGGAGCTGATCGACTTCTATGTGAGGTAGAAGAGGATGATGAAAGGGCTAAAGAGCAAAATAAAATAAAATAACAAAGAAAATGATTAGACAATAGATCAGTGACTACAGTGTATAACCGTTCTACTTTTTAGACTTCAGTTTTCTATTCGCATATTTTATTATTCTAAACAAAAGAATCAAGTTATCATAATAGAAGAAGAATGCCCTACCCGCGCTTTCGAACGTTTTACATTTCAGCGTGCTTTAACTGGTGTCCTAACTTTACGTGCTTACTTGAGTATCCATCAGAGCAATAATAAGTGCAGTACGGTGTGCCAGGGAATTAGCAAACATTCTATGTAGCACAATTTTGTAGTAGTCGTAGGTTTGCCTTTCTGAAATTACATCAATCATACGTCTGTCGTAGATTTTTCTTTTCTCTGATTCGACAGTAGATAGTAGATAATGTCGTACGATTAGTCCTTTGTTTGGTGCAGACTTAATAGCATCAGTCAAGCTTCCAGTGTGTCCACCATGCTAGGTGGATTGTCATCACAGTGTACTCTGAACTGTTGTTATTAGAGGGTTGCAGCCCAAATAGCTTGATGGTAACGCCTCTGGCTAAAGCACTAGGTGGCACAGGTTCTAATCTCAGAAGGGGTATGAGCTCCTTCAAGATACACATTGCTGACGATTGCCAACTAGCACGAAACCTAGGTCTAAGGTCTCCTGACGATTTCCTCAAACCACCTTACCGACAATACTTCTTTTCACATAGTCTAACGTTCAATCATGCCTTCCTTAGTAGTCATTTTGTTATTACTTGTATCAGTTCGTCTCATTATCTTTAGCCTTAGAATACCTTTAGTTTTCGGTCATTGCACACATCTTTGTTCTATGCGATGGATAGTTTATTGTCAGGTTGGAACTGAAAATATTGTCTTCACCTGCCAACCCTGTTATGCTACTTGAGGACCAGCTGATATAAGCACTTCACACAACGTACACTGTCTATCCATCCACTACACTTTGATTGGACGCAATTAATACACTAAGTGTGGACTGCTCAAAAGACTAAACCTTACTTAAATCGCTATTTTAGATAATAGAGTGTAATGTCTAGCAAAGTATAGGCAGCAATAAGTCAGTTTATTGTGTTCCTACAGCTTAACTCTGAATTTCTCTTAAGATGTTAGACATGCTGCTCAGATTCTCCGTGATGATTAAACTATTATCCCACGAAACACGATTTTTTCCCTTAGTGATTCTAACATACTAATATCAGTCTGGAAATATGACGACTGTAGAATGGTATAAATATATGAATATTCCTTTCCGAGTACCAATGGAGTGATTGACATATCACAGTGGTAGTGCTTTTATAAAGATTTAACTTAAGTTTACAAAAGATTAAACACAATAACTTACACTGAGATGTGACAGTTTTGGATGTAGCGCTTGATTTTGAATTTGCTGAATGTTGCTGGAAAGATTGTTTCGTTGGAGATTTTAGTTGAATATGCTGGAACACTTGACATGATGATTCATGATTATTTACAAGGGAGTCAGTTTTGGAAATAGTCATTGTCTGTACAGTTTGAAGGTTGGATTGGATTATTTGGTTATTATTATTACTAATATTCTGTATAGATTTTTCATTGTCTGTTTTTTCTTGGTTGGAATAGTTAATAGTGCTAGGAGTTTGCATCACTTGTTGTGATTGGGATGATCTATCAGCCAATATCAAATTAGTATGGTTAATTCTTTGACAGTGTTCACAATATCCTTGTTCGTTGGACTGCGTTTGAGATATAATATTACTTTCTTTAACATCAACAGTAACAACACCCGTACCTCCTGCAGAACTCCCACTGGTCGAATCAGCATGAGACGAAGCTTCACTATCTCGAACAATACTTTCATAACCACTACTTGCATGACCTCCACCACGACGAGGACCAGACCCAGAGAGATGAGAACATGGAATACCTATTGATAATTTACTGGTTTCAAAGGAATCGAGAAGAACCTTTCCATCAGTAGAATTTTCATCATATTCTGTTGTTTCTCTGTTTGGACATTTCCTATGTCCTGTAGCTGAGGCACTACTCTCTGAACTTCTTTCACCATCAGCAGGTTTTCTTACTTCACTCACAGTTTCACATTTTCTGTCACTTCTGTGATCCGATCGACACGCATGTGTAGATGGAATACAACGGTGACACCTCTGATTGTTTCCTGAATGATAATGATGCTGATGTGCATGATGATGGTGGTGTCTTTTGCATCTGCATCGCAATGCTGTATTCGGTTCTGCTTTTGAATGCCAAGCAATACTTTTTTCTGTGAATAAACTACTACTGCATTCACTGCCATGTCCACTACTTGACTGTAGAGAGGAGTTTTTTGTAGGAGTTGTTGCTGTGTTAAATGAAACTGGAATATTGCTCACATGTGTACTAGGTGAAAATGCATTTTTATCTTCACTATGTTGTTTTTCTAGTGATGTATGTTTAGAAGTAGATTTATCCTTTCGGATACATCCTATGCGGGTTTGCGTCTCAGATGTATCAAACTGAGAGGCATTATGTCTCTTTTGATGAGAGGAACTAAGATCCTTACTTTGTGTTTTGCGACGTGAATCACAATTTTTTGCCAATGAGTGACCGCCAATCGGAGAATCAAGTACTGTGGCTGAAGTTTTACCTTTTTCAGGAGTATTACCAGCTGTTTCCGATTGTTTCGTTTCTTTTTCTTTGCGTTTTCCAAACAATGGACTTGTCAAGAAGCTTAAGCGTCCCTTACTTACCTGTGATAATAAAAAAGGTAGATGTTACTTTTAACAAACTGCAAATATCTTGAATATGAGAAAAAAACTACAATTGTTTAAAACTGTTCAACGACTCAAGTGTTTGATAATGCGGAAAGAGGTAGGAAGAATACTTTATTTCGACTAACCAATACCTCAGGACTGAAAAGGAAACTATCAAAATTCTTGATATTTCTACAATTTAATATGCCTAACTCCATTAGTGTGATAATAAATAGTTACACTTCAAATTATAAAATCTTTAAGAGGTTTACACCTGTGAGAAAGTTTATTCGTTTGTATAGAACTTTCATTCTCACTGTAGGTTTTCAGACGAGTTGCTAAACTATGCAAGTTTGCATTTAGAGAATAATGGCTGATAGACTGAAACTGTGAGATAGCAATGCATCGGTAGATTGTTATTGATATGGTTGGTGATAACTGGGGGTGAAATAAAAGCCTAGATTGCTTCAGATCTCTAACTTGAAGCCCCTGAATTACCGTTTCGGCAGTTTACTATTCAAATGAAAACCAAGCAGTTTATTTCGTGACTGCAGTGAACTGATGCTCTGCCTAACAATTAGATTTGGAAATGGGCTTCACTCAGTAGAGAACAAATTCAGGATTTTCAACTTCAATGTTAAGTCACCTCTTCTATACGTGTCTAAAATTTCATATTTTCAACAGGCTACAGACATTTATCAACACTTCCCTTCTCTGGCTCCATAATGAAGTTCCAATGGCCAGAAAGAATTAGAGACAAGAAACTATGGGGACCAAGCAATCAAGAACCCATAGCATCATGAGCTGACATCACTTAGAGAACCACTGGAAAACCTGGGAGTATTGGACAGCTGTTTCGTCCTAGTTTGAGACTCTTCATCAGACCATCAATGGCCCACGAGCGTGCCTTGTAACCAGAAGGTCCTTGGTTCGAAACCGGTGACGAAGAGTCCCAAACTAGGGTAAAACAGCTGTCCAGTACTCCCTTCAGGTTTCCCAGTGGTTCTCTAACTGATGTCAGCTCATGATGAAATCCTCCATTCAATCAAACAAAACCCTACAAAACCAATACTTAAAAGCAAGAACCTATATGCTAAAGACAGTGGAGATGTATCAGATACACGCTGAGGAGACAGTTAGTGACATCGCGATCTAGATAGATTCTCGGGTGGAAACCTAGAGGGAAACAATGAGTTGGGAGTCTGAAGATATTATTATGGAGATCGTGTGAGGATAAGATGACAGCTTACGGGGAGTCAGTAGTGAGACCAGCTATAAAGGACTTCGGAGAATAAGGTGAAATAAAAGTGTGTTATTGAAGCCCTGTGTTCCACTTAGAACTGAAGGGAATAGTAATATAAGATAGTAATAAGTTACTAGAGTGAACGGCTAGTAATTTACAGGTCACTGGCTAGAATCATACCGTCGACCAGGTTTTCACTTCATCTTGAAAGGAAAGTGTATTGTCAAATCACAGCTATTTGATACACTAAGTAAAATTAAATGAGCAATAAAATATCCACCTCTTTCAGAGACAAAGAGTCAAGGTAAATCTATCGATAAATTCTTTACTCAACCTAAAACCTACAAAGAAGAATCAGACCATCTAAATTAAGTGTTACAACAAAACGCATTAGGGTAATATCATATGGACAGATTAATCAATTTCTATCTGGAAAGTGAATAATAGTGATATTACGTAAATGAAAATCAAAATTATACTATGAATAGAATTACTAGTTCCATTAAGATTTGTCTCTGTATAGAAAGAAGATAGACAGAGTAATCTAATTAGGTGAAAGGAATTTAGACATCGAAAACAACGATGTGTGTAGTAGACAAATGAATATATTTCCTACGTAAATGTAAGCATGCTAAAGGATTCTCACAAAGAAACTAAGATAAGTGGGAAACAAATGGTGAATGTTATCACTGTCATCTTTCCACCATATCAATGATTTTCAGTCAAATTAATTAAGGTAGAACGTAAATGTAAAATGAGGGTGATTCAGTAACATCGATATTTCGGTATACATAAGCCAAAAAATCCTGACAGGAGAATCACTAATGTTATCTCTGTACACAAGTTACTTTGAGGAGAAATTTTGACTTAAGCTGATGATTTTATATTAGATAAAAGTAATTGATATAACAACACGCTGAAAGAGTATTGACAAGTGGATAACGTTCAAGGCACAATTTATCGCTCATGAGCAATATCGTTTAGAAAGTAGGTAAAGTTCTGTATTAGACACCGAAAAGACGAGAACACATCAATGACTTGGGAAACAGTAGTTGTGCAAAAAGATAAATTTGCTTCCTAACACAATATTAACCATAATGTATCTTTAATCTAACCCTACTACAACCTTAATCAACTCTGATATCTTCTTAACTAGGCTAATTCAATCCTTTACAGTCCTTAGCTCAAACCTAAACTTAGTCTTTCCCTAGCCTAGCCTAAAACTAATCTGATAGAGTGTTAGTATAATTACACCTCATACAAGACTTTTTTCATGGATGAAGCATTATTAACCTGATTTTACTGGCTTGCTCTGGCTTAGCGTTTCAAAGTCACTGGTGTCTTCACGCTTGCTGGGTGTCTAAAGAACTGTGCTGGTTCAATGGTTTATTCCAGGAAAAATCAGTTCATGTTTGTCTATCTCATTCAACATACTTCAATGAAGTCTCTTCCATCTACAAATTTTAATATCTGTCCATCGGTTTCAATAAAAAAGTTCTCTAAAGTAAGCAAGTGTGTGTACTGAGAAATTAATTACAAAAATGCATATGTAATAGTGAATATCCAGTTGATTAAAGTGAATCAATAATAGGACTTTACTTACTTTTGTGCGAACTTCTTTAGGAGGTTTTTTACCCATTACACTTTGTAATATATTGGATTTTGTGGTATTATCATCATTTTGTGCATAATCTATCACATTTGAAGGTTTTTGAGCTTTTGAATTATCTATCAACTGTTCATTTCTATACGCTGAGTGATCGCTATCTGTTGATGAACAGAAACTATGAGATCTGCGACATTTTGAAGATTTAGGCGAAGTACAAACTAATAGATGAGATTCTGAATCATGATGAGATTTGTTTGACTTTTTCTTCGCTTCAGGTGAGAAACACTTTTTCCTTAATGGGGATGCAGTAAGATGAGTAGTGGAATGCTGATTAGCTGTTGTTGAAGGTGAGGCGGAAATGTCAACAGGATAAGCTTTTGTGTTTGTACGAAGTGTGGTTTCTTTGTAGATGCCCAAAATCCTGTTGACTGATTTGACGATTTTTCATTCAACGTGTAAGGGGTTTTCGTCTCTGATTTAGCCATTTCTTGAACATCAGAAGCTCCTTGTGTTTCTCTGTGTAAGTGTGGGTTGGAAGATCCATCCGGACGTCTTGAAGGAGGAGTATCTCCGTCACTTTTTCTACCAGTGTTACATATTTCTTCCTTCACACAGAGAGGACCCGAAGAGATGGAAATCGGAAGTGGCGCAACTGTATTTTCTGATGTAGTTGCTGATTCTTGTTTCAAGTATCCATCACATATATCATGAACTTCAGTGAAACCACCCTCTTGAAGAGAAGTCGGTGGTACAGACCTTCCTCGGCGAAGTTTATTGTTAATATTTCTAACACACTGTGGGCTCCGCATAACTGCATTTTCGTAATTGTGTACACCTGAACGATTCATGTGATGACGGTAAAGAGGTTTTTCTTCAGGGAAGTTGTCGTCTTTTTCAAAGTGTTTATGGCAAAAGCATTTTTGATTCTGGTTAAACAGATTATGATTGATGTTGTCATTCATGCATATATCATGGGGAAAATCAGGTTGTTGAAGCGTTGTACCAGAATCATTTGGTTTGTTCAAATTGGCCCCTTGAATATTACAAGTTTCCACGGAAACTGATTTAACCCAAGCTGCTATTCTTGCAAAATTAGAAGAAGTCTGAATTGAATTTATGAATGGTGCATGACCGGTATTTGCAAACGAGGAATTACTGTCGCATTGATAATTTGGCGATTTTGAGCTACACTTATTCACGCATAGTTTGTCTTCATGTTTCATGTGTTCTGTTCTGCCATGAAACCTATAAAGTAAGATAACGTGAAGATAAAAGAAGACCTTAGCATAGTAAGTAATTCAATCAAATGGTAAAACACCTTGCAATCAGACGACGATTACAGAGAGTTTAACATAAATAAAACAAAAGTAAACTAATCATTATAAAAACCAAGCAAGTTCCGTTGTCATGATATCTTTTCGTGAGAAGCTCTTAATTTTATTGTTTTACATTGTATGCTAAACACAGTAACTTCCATAAAAAAATTCAGTACATAGTATCTTAGCGCATTTACGAGTGATTACAGTTCAAGCAATAGATATTCTAACCGTTCTGTTGCCTTTCAATCTTCAAACTTTATCCATACATATTTTGGGGATAATCTAGTTGTAATTTTCAGTTCGCTTTCCTGGTGAAGATCCAAGCTTACAAAGCAAAAACAAAACCCACGAAACTTTACCGATAGATACAAAAGGAACACAGTTAATACTTAGAGAAGTTTGAAATCGTTCAGAATCTTAGCAATGAAGTGAAGTTGTTATTTTGACGTTTTAATGAAAGCACGTAAAAATATAACATTACACAGCCCAATGCAGATCATCAGTCTGACTGACAATCTCATGTACATAAATTCTACTTGTTTTAATTATTACTTCAAGTTATATAAATGATCGGTTGGGGGGTTTCATCATGAGCTGACATCAGTTAGAGAACCACTGGATGCCAGCAGGGAGTACTGGACAGCTGTTTCGTCAGCCTAGTTTGGGACTATTCGCCAGCATGCAAACACCAACAAGGTTCGAACACAGGACCTTCTGGTTACAAGGCTAGCGAGCTCGTAAGTCATTAAGTCAATGAGACCCGATCCAATGGCAAGCCCGTGAATTCTAACTTCTGCCAATTCATGACATATCGCGACCATTTCCCAAAGTCTTCTTCGATGAGTTACTGCCTCACCTTCACCCTGCTGTACCCAACTGGTTACAGCTTCCCACTAGAACCCCAGGTGAAGAGTCTCCAACTAGGATGCAACAGCTGTCCAACACTCCTAGGTTTTCCAATGCTTCTCTAACTGATGTCAGCTCATAATGAAACCCTCCAACCAATCAAACAGAATTATCACAAAACCAATACTTGAAAATTATATTAATGACCCATTTTTTATATTACTTAAAAGTAAGAAGAAGAAGTAAGGCAATCAAGCGTAAACATTGAAAGTATAAAAGGAACCTTGATTCTATCTTGAATTAATGCATGTTACTGGTAACTTTAGTTTAGAATATTGTAATTACATTCAAATAATTAAAATCTATTCTGGAATCGGTGTATCCTGCGATATAGTTGTGTTTTAGACATTCTAGTTTCAGCGGAAAGAAATGTGTATTTTAAATTTTTATATCAGCCTTAAAAGGATAACTGTACATGAGGATATCATGAGTAGGATAAAAAATTGAAAGATTTTTTATTTTAATTCAGCAAAAATATTGTTATGTCCCACTGGTAAAGAAAAAAATGTAAACAAAACATGTTTACTGTTGGCCTATACACCGACATACTAATTACTAAATATGAATACCTATTAAAACACATTGACTAGGTCTATTTTACAAGCTTATAAGCATCTTCATTGCTGACATTAATTCACTCAGTTTTTTTCCGGTCAAACAGTGTTTATGTGTTACGGAAATGTCCGGAATATCATAGGAATTGTTCTCAACCTTGCTAATTATGAATTAATACTTTTTCGCTCAATTCCTTCAAAGAACTATTCTATTTTAAGTTTGATCACGGAATGATGTTGGTTAAAGAACCACTGAAAAACATACAGTACTGGACAGCTGTTGTTTCCTAGTCTGAGACTCTTCCTCAGTTCACACTCACCGGGGCTCGAACTCAGCACCTTCCGGTTACACGTCAAGCTGGCATACCGTTTTGTGACTGAGATGCGATTTTTTTGGCCCATGAATTCTAACCTCTACCCATTCCTGAATTTAGCGCGACTACCGGGGATTTGATATCTACAAAATAACCGGTGAAAATGAATTTGATGCCCAATAGTGGCTGGCTATGAGAGGAAGCTGTTTGGAGTTCCAGTGAGAAGTTATGACCAGTGGGGTCTACTAGCTCAAGTGTAAGGACAAATACTCGCCGGTGATACTGGCTGGTGGTCTCTCTGAAATTACGAATTAGCAAAAGTTTGAATTCATCGGCCAATGAGCCTGATCTCAGTAGCTGAATGGTCTATGAGGTTGGCTAATATTTGGGAGGTCCTGGGTTCGAACCCCAATGGACGCGTACTGATGAAGAACCGCAAACTGTGACGAATCAGTTTTCCAGCACTCCTAGGTTTTCCAGTGGTTCTGTGTCTGAAATCAGTCCATGATCAGACCTGAAATAAATCAAATCTCAACAAACTAACTTTTGAGAACTATTTTAGGGTAAAAGTGAACTGAATCTTACAGTCATGTAACATCTCAGAGCAATAGAAACCAACTGGTTCGAAGTAAATTCACAGTTCACTTTTGGATAATTTAGATTATCATGATCAGTACACTTACATTAAAATCTGAAAATCAGAAAAAAGTCCACACTACTTTTCTTTTCTGACTAATAATTCATGAAAAAGCGTAGATGTCTCACTTTACTTCTAACCGCTTGAACTTGGTGAGAACAAATGAATAATAGGTGGTCGATTCACGAATAAATCAGACATTCAAGTGTTGGTTTGTAGGGATTTGATTGATTTCAGGATTTCATCATGAGCTGATATTAGTTAGAGAACCATTGGAAAACCTGGGAGTACTGGAGCTGTTTTCTCCTTTTGGGCTCTTCAGACCCCCCCGGGTTAACCCAGGCCTTCCGGTTAAAGGGCTTAACCATTAACCGGGACCCACCAATGGTCCTTAATCTCTTCTAATTCGAAATCAGACATTATTGAATCAGTTGCTATGACTTTTAAAGGTTGTACTTCCACAGTAATTTAACCAGAAAGCACAATAGGTATTCGACAACAGAATCAATGATACACTACAAAATAGAGGATAAACCACATACTACTTGTGAATTCTTACATCAATTAATAAAAAGTTATGAATAAGGTTTACTTCTATGAAACAACTTACATATGATGTCTAAATTGTTGAGTCTCACTTCTTATTTCTCCAACAGTCATACTGATTGCGGTATTTGCCACAGTGCATAATTTACTTCCTCCAGGATTTTCGGTTTCATTATTTTGAATATGAAGTTGATGCTGTTCGTTTATCTAACAACAGAAGATATTAAAAAAGTATGTAAATATTTATACCGATTATATAGATCTGTGAGATCATGGTCGGGTTAATATTTTCCTTACTGTCATTAAAATTTTTTTATTTGGCTCATATACCTTAGCATAATTATGAGTGATGACAGTTCAAGCAACACATATTCTAACCTTTCTGCTGTCTTTCAGTCTTCAGACTTTATCCACCATGGAAGACCTGGGAGTACTGGAGAGCTGTTTCGTCAGCCTAGTCTGGGACTTTTCATAAGTATTCTCAACTCCTGTCGGAACAGCTGAAATTCATAAACCTTCCTCACGCTAGGAAAATACCCACGAGCAGTATTATTATTATTGTTCCCTTGGGTTCCTAGTGGAACATAGGGCTTCAACTGCACGTCTCCACTTGCTTCTGTCTTGCTTCTGCTGTACTTTTCACCTGCATTATGTTAGTCCATACTGTTTCAATTCCTCTTCACACGATCTCCTCCCTGTCACCCTTGCACTGACGTCATACTCGCTGCTTCCCTTTCGGGTTCCACTCGAGCAATGGCCTGACGCGGGTGCGATGTCACCCAGCGGCTTCCTCACCGAGTGTCCAGTCCATCCAATCCACTTTCTCCTGCATATTTGTTGGCTGGCGATTGGTCCTTGTTTTGTTTGTTCCCATAGTTTCCAATAGTTGGTGATTCTTTCCGGCCCGGCCATCTGATCTTCAGTATAGATCCAGAGAAGACAGTTATTGGTTGATAAAGTTCTCCCACAGGCTGTTGGAAATATTCTTTGTGACCCGCCCGCCAAGTTTCTCATTCGTATAGAAGAACTGACTGACTTGACGTTTGTAGTGAAAATCCAACCGAATTTTGTTGTCGATGGTGGCTGAGTGACGAAGATTTCCAGATTGGTTTCAGCTGGTTGATGAATGTGTTTCTCGCTATTCCGAATCTCGCTCGATTTGACATCCTCGTCCGTTCCTTTCACGAGCAGTAGAAATCCATTAATTAATGCGTCTAACGCTTATGTATTTACTCCAAACAATGACATTGCAGATCAAATGAGATAAACATATCACTGATTTCAAAATAACACACCATTCGAGGATTCTGAACACAACAAAGTTATGTATGAAAATTGACTTCAAGCTTTATTTTTTTCCCAGGAACTTATAATCTATCCACCAAAGACCTGGTTTTTTGTTAATGCGAAGAAAATACTTCTGTATTTCCTGATGTGTTGCGCTCACTGACAATCTAGCAGATTTTTCCAACTGTGCACAGAAATGATTGTATACAAGTGAAAAGGCTGTTTTATACTACTGGGATTAACATTTATCAAGTGTATGTGTAATCTCTAGCGAACATGTAAAGCATATCTTGCTACCGCCTGCAAATTGTGATTGAATTATATGGTTCTATTTCTGTAACAATTTGATGATGCCTGTAAACTGGCGTCTCTCATATACTGTGCTATGAGAATAAATTTATTTATTTATTATCTATTTATATATGGTTACGAAAAGTCGGATCTCCTGTTTTTGATATTCACCGCACTAGACATATTATTCTTATTCTTATTACATCACAGGTCCAGTCTTACATTTGTTTATATCGAAGAGATATGAATGAATATGATAGTTATCAAAATAAATATTCTCATAAACATATGGTGTATGTTTTCATAGTGTATCCACCTGCTGTTCAAAATAATACTTCTGGCTAATCTTTAGGCTAAAATATAAAATCTGACTTACCTTGGAGAAATCACCATGAACACTGGAAGTAGCAGGTAAAGTACTGTGCTTCTGAATCCAATCCTTAACGAATGGTTTAACTCTAGCAATCGGAGCATTTGTATCACTGGGAATACCAGTCGTCATGAATGGTTTTGTTAGAGGAATTTCATTAGGCGGTTGTTTTACATTTGTATGTAGATTTACCTGATAATTTGTATTTCTTAATGCATTAGATATGTGGGGAATTGGGTGCTTCCGATCTTCAGATTCTTTCTCTGTAGGAATATGACTAGGTGTCCAAGATTCTGTTGACTGTGGTTTGACAATAGAGGCACTGTTTCCAGTTGCTGCTAGATTTGTTGTATCACCAGTTTCAACAGTTGAATTACTTTGGTTCATAAGTGAACTAACCATAACACAAGTTGAACACTGACTACTGAGTGTAGCATCAGCATTTTGTACATCTAAAAGAAAATACAATAGGCGAACAATTTAGCGGTTGAAATAATATAAATTAAAATAATCTCTCTAAGTATTGGTCCTATTCAGACAGTTAACCTGGGGTTCTAGTGGGAAGCCTTAACCAGTAGGGTACAGCAGGTAGAAGATGATGCAGCAACTCATCGAATAAGACATTACGTAGTGGTCGCGCTATGTCATGAATTGGCAGAAGTTAGAATTCATGGGCCATTGGATCGAATCCCAGTGTCTTAATGGTCTACGAGCTAGCTCACCTTTTAACCAGAAGGTCCTGTATTTGAACCTTGTTGATTGGTGCGTACTGAGAACAGTCCCAGACTAGGCTGACGAAGCAGCTGTCCAGTACTCCCAGGTTTTCCACTGGTTCTTGAACTGATGTCAGCTCATGATGAAATCCTCTATATGATCTCTTTATTTTACCTGGTAAATCAAGCATTATGTTATTCTATTCACACAAACTAAGTAGACAGATGTTAGGGAATAAACTCGATGAATGGCTGTGACAAATGTATAACATAGTAAGCGTGAAACATATTTTATTCTAGTACAGCTCCTGTAAAATCTTAAGAAAACAAAGTCGCATTCTAATTCAGTGAACAGCGATGACCTACATTTAATAAATCAAGGAAGAATGATTCGACATGAAAGCTGGGGTAGAGGAAAACTGCACAGACTGTATCTTATCAAAACACTAAGTTCTCCTAGTTATAGAGGTCAGATAGCAATATTATTTAGACCTCAATAGGAAATCGATAGTATCGTCTCTGGAGTTTTCATTAATAATACAGCTTTATCGATAAATAAAGTCACCACATTTCTGATTACGTTTATGGTTTACTGGAAGAATGTTCACCAGATAGGGGGACAGCGATACCTAGATTCAGTTCCAGGCACTCCTAAGTTTTGCCTGGTTCCTAAGCTCCTAGTAAGCTTACGAAAAAATTTAAAGACTAAATGTGAGACTGTCAAATTCAACGCATAAAATCAAAACCACTACTTGGACTTCAAAGCTTGGAGCCCTTTGATTCACCAGAAACCTGAAAGAATGTAAGGGGAAATGTTGCCGATTACTATTTATTTGTGTATAATAGGCAGGTTTGAAAGAATTTAAAAATGAAACACGAGAGCTTAACAACGCATAAAAGTGAATTTGCTCCTTCTGAAAATTATTATTTGTAAAGATGTTGGCTAAAAACTAATCAATAACGTGAGGCAGTGGGATAGAATTCAAATATATATATATATATATATATATGAGTTTTATCCTTAAACTAGCAACAAATCCATTAGAAATCCAGTTTCTCTTCTGCATGATGTTTGGAACGATAACTCAGCTGTTAAGTATGCAGAAGTGAACATATACATATCAAGATAACTCGTCGCCTAATTGAAACAATTGTTGGACGTAATTTAAAGGAAATAACTTTGGTCTTCATATATATATATATATCATACCAAATTAGTGTTGTTCATTAAGTAAAGTGAGAGCCACACAATTAGTTTCGTAACGAAGATAAAAAATGGATTAGGAAAATTTTAAAAGTTGTAGATATGTGTTATAAGAAAAATAAAATGTTCCATTTACTATTTTGTTATATACGTTTTCTCCGTAAGCAATTAAGCATGAAGTAATTGTTCCCTGTGAAGCTTACACCAATTCACTTGCTTTATACACGTTGGAAATGTATCATTAATATTATTATTAGGTTTAAGTGGATTGGTTTATACGAAACCTTTTTAATACCCCTTACATATGAAATTGTTCACTACACTTGGTATCTAAATCAGCAGTAAGTAGCATGGTAGACGAAATAATACTTTTGGCAAACAAATATACTGAGGAAAAAAAGTGTAAACAAAGTATTAGAAGTCATTCTGGTGGATGGTCAGTAGCAGTGGAATCTGGGATGAGAATTTCGTTCTATTTGGGACTCGTCATTTGAGTGTACTCACATTTCCCAGTGGGTCATGGTGTTACCACCGAGGCTGGAACCCAGGACCATAATTTTAGACGACATGGGATATCACAGCCGCCTTTTATGCAACAGCCTATATACATGCATATATATACATGAATTAACTCAGGATTTAGCACTGAAGAAAATAATGGCTGAAGGCTTGAACTACCCATCCGTAATAAAATCATCTGCATAAGCTGTCAATCTTTATCATATCAAGAAAATAATTTATGAATACAACACTAACACTGTGACGAATTATGAGCTATGCCAGAGGAAGTCTTCGACTGTTGGGTTTCGTTAACTTGTAGACTTATACAGCAGTCTTTAAATTCCCAGATGGCTTGATCTGTAGATCAGAGACTGAATGAATTATGTTGTGTTTAAGTAAGTTTAACCACTCTTAACTTTCTCTCAGGTCATTTATATAATGGATTAGGAAAGGAATGTAAGATTCGAAATTACGTAATATGTTTGGCAGAATGAATCTTCAACTGTCTCAAAACTTAAGAGTTCCTAATAAAACGAGTATAAGACTGTTAGTAAGAGATATAAGGAGAAAATTATTCAGTTATAGATTAAAATGAAACATAAAAGTTTCTTTTCGATACACTGTTTCCGTTCTCACCCCATGTTTTTCACTTAATCCTAACAGTACAGCAGTGTATCAAAGTGTCATTTGAGGAATACACAAATTAGGAATTGATACTAATTAATCACAAGATTAAATTTGTTTGCAATTAGACGTGAAGATACGAGAGTATAAAAAAGTTATGTTTGGTATCTCCATATAGCTAAAGTATGTACGCCTTATCTTCAACGCACCAATTGCGCACATTTTCCGTGTCATGCTACTTCTCGCCTTCCTTCATATTGTGTTTCTTTCACGTATCACATGTATCCCCACAACTCTGTATCAATTGCTTTTTCTGACATCAAATCTATCTTCCTGCCATATGATGTTTTTATGCCAATTAACATCTCTTCATATATATATATATACTACTACTATCAAATCTTACCAGTAGCACACCCTACATGCACTCCCCTATTTTGTTATTACATTTTTTACTACTTTCATTTCAAACAAATGAATGATGGATAAAGCAGAAAAGTTAAAAACTACTAATTTATACAAGTTACCAAATATGCTTTGTCTATATGACTATTATCATATAAAAGAAAGGGTGTTCACCGAAGAGATACTCTTTTTGACGTTATCTTTTTCAAGCTGTACAGTCCCAAACATAGATGTATAGTATATCGTCTCATCAACAAAAGAAATATTTCTAAAGATGTGTCACTAGAATTGTAAATTATCGATAATAAACTACATAATGTAGAAAGCGTTAATCGGGTAGAAACTAAAATGAAATCAAATAAGTAAGTTGAGTGATGTGACGTAACTGATGGGGTTGAGTAGAATTCGAATGAAATTTGAGAGAGACCCAAGTTAACAACAGTGATAATAAGGGGTAGGGATTTAATAAAAGATGATGGAGTGAAATGATACAGTTAAGGAACAAAAAGACAGAAATTGCGTATTTTGTGTTAAGATCGATTGTAGATTTAATGACTGAGCAAAATTCCTTTGTATGCAGAGTTCAGGATTTAACATGTGAATCGCCATTGCGTCTGTACCTTAAAGAAGTTCGATTCGTACTCTTTTAACGAGATTCCTATGTATTCTGTAGACAACTCTGAAATTCCTTCATGAGTTAGCTTTGTGTCCACAAAACTGGCGCAGAATTATGTTCTTGTCCATGCCAAGCAAAATACTAAGCCGCATCATCCTGGAGAGAATCAAACACGCCAACCTGCATGAAAAACTTCGACAAGAACAGGCTGGATTCAGGAGAAACAAGTCATGTATTGATCAAATCGCCACACTACGGATCATCATTAAACAAAGCTTGCAATGGCAGTCACCTCTCCACCTCACTCAACTTCATTGACTTTGAAAAGGCCTTCGATAACGCAGCGTCGATCGGGAGGTCATGTGGCAACTACTTCGCTACTACGGGGTCCCATCGACAATTATACATCTCATCCAACAGTTAGTTGTGCGATAATGCTGCATTCCAAGTAATCCACAACGGGAAACTTACGGAAGCCTTCCAAGTGAGGACGGGAATGAGGCAAGGCTGTTTACTATCGCCAATGATTTTCTCGATTGCAGTAGACTGGATAATGCGACAGACAACGGGCCGGGAAGCGAGGAAACAGGCCTAAAATGAACTCACACAAAAAGCAACTTGGAGGATCTGCAATTCGCCGATGATGATATATGTCTGATTTCCCACAAACTAAAAGATATGCAAGTGAAAAGCAACAAGTTGGCAGAAGAAGCATCCATAGAAGATAGGACTTCAGGTACATATAGATAAAACAGAGGTGATGAAGATTCCTGGACAACACCAACACCAACAACAACAACAGAAAACAATCAGACAGCATAAGTGGGAGGAACCTGAAAGAAACAACCTCCTTTACCTACCCAGCTATCTGGGAAGCATCGTTTCAACTACAGGCGAGCGGAACTGACCAGGATGTCAAAGCAACGAGGATCGGAAAAGCAAGACAAGCTTTCATTACTCTTAAATCTGTGTGGAGGTCAACAACACTCACCATCAAAAATAACATCCGGATTTTCAACTCCAATGTGCAATCAGTCAGTGCTACTCACTATACGGATCAGAGACTTGGCCAGCGCGTCATAAAGAGCATCTCAAACGAACTACAGATCCTCATTTACAGTTGTCTTCGCTCAATGCTACTCAAGATCAGATGGCCGGCCAGTAAAGATCAGAAACACGGATCTCTGGCAACAAGAGAACCAACCCAGCTGTAACCGATTGTGAAGCAAATAGGCAGGAAGAAATGGAGATGGATTGGCTGGCCATACTCTGAGGAAACAAGCCATCAAGTGACATCACTAGACAAGCCATTGCTCGAGTGGAACCCGAAAGGGAAGCGGGCGGCGAGTTGGTCGTCAGTGCAAGGGTGGGGTGACTTGGAGGAGGTGA